TTGGCATGCTTCCAATCAGAAGGTACCACACCTTCAGATGGCTTTTGTGGGTTTTCTATGTGCTCCAGCTTTCTCCTGCGGTCCAAAAGACCTGCTGTCAGCTGGAATGGCAACTCTGATTGCCTGTTGTGCATGTGACTGAGTATGTCATGCCCTGTGATAGGCTGGCATCCCCTGCCTCGGTGCCCTGTGCTGCCACGGATGGATGGATGGATGGATTATTGGTGTGTGTGGGGCAAATTAAAGCTCTTAAACATTTGTCTGCAGGAATGCTGGAAAGAACTGGACAAAAATCCAGGAACATTTCTTTTTTGGGATCTTCCATCCACTTGTAGACTACAGCATGGAGGTGAGTCATAATAACATCAACTTCACAATTATGCTAGTGTGCATTGATTAATTTGCAATCCAGGTGTGTGTCGCTTAACGTCTGGATTATGTTCTGTTCAATAAGACATCAGGCGACTTAGACGCTATGCGAACATCATGTATACTGTACATGAACCTATTCAGTATACTGGACCTAAACTGTAACATTTACTATCACTGTCAAGTATTGTGGGTATTATTAGTTTGATACAGACACTCCTCATTTAACGACTGAGTTTCATTCCTTCGGCTAGTTCGTTAAACGAATTGGTCAATAAGTGCGGAGCCGCCCCTTACCGATATTTCAAACATCTTTAGATATTGTTTTAATGTTACCTTTTGCGTCATTTATATCATTTTGTATATTTATAAATGTTTATACAGTAGTACAGATATACTGCAAATACATTATTCTTAATTCTGAATAAAGACAAGGTCTAAAGGAAACTTCAATTGGATAGCTTTGTTTTCATTTGCATGACTCTTAGATATTACAGAATATAAAATATAATCGGCAAAGATTATAAAAAATGATGCGGCAAAAAAATTACAGTTATTAGAAAAGGAACGCTAGTGTAGTGAATACTGACTTCGTGAACGAGACTGAGACTGAGAAAGATGTGAGATGAGATTCTTGACGCTGAGACACCATCTTGCTGTTTCCACGACCAAAGTTTCTCGTACAGTGTTCAATACTGACTGGTCAGAGAGCTGGTCGTAAGTCCGGCGGTCGTTAAACAGGTAGGTCATTATGTGAGGAGTATATGTATGTACTGTACCATTATACAGCTGTCAGGCCAGTCGCTTTATTTACACCAGCTACACATTGTGCATTATGGCCGCTTATGTCTGCTCCATCCTGTTATCCGGATTTTTCAACTCTTCTGGGACCTCACATGTATAAGTGGTCAGACGTGCAGAACGATGTTAAGCGACACATCTCAACTATATTCAGAAGATCAAAAAGCCCCTTGTCGTCATTAACTATTGGTGGAGAGGATGTGGAAGAGGTGCATTTACTTCCTGAGGAGACTCCTGTGACTGTCCTTTGGAGTCTATGTGTCTCTGCTACAGCAGTTCTACCAGTCTGTGGTTGCAGGGCAGTCTTCTATGCTGAGGTGTGTCAGGGCAATAATGCTACAAGAAGGGACTCAGACAAACTCAAAACACTGATTAAGAAGGCTCTCTGTTTTGGGAATCCACCAGGATTCAATTGAAACAATCGTCCAAAGGAGAACACTTAAGATGATTTGTTCCCTACTTGACAAAGCCTTACACCCCCTACATCACATCCTAGTCAAGCAGAGAAATACATTCAGCAACAGACTCGCACAGCTGCATTGCTCCAGCGAGCACTATCTAAAGTCTTTTCTCTCAGTGGCCATCAAATGCTACAATAAGTGTCCCCCTGACCTCTCTTCCCACTCAGTCACCAGCCCTCGAGAATAGTGTTGTATTTAATGTTGTATTTAGTATTGTATTTTTGTCGCACACTTTATTTTGCACATTGCAATTTAGTATTGTATTGTGTCTTTTGTACAGTATTGTGTCTTCTGTATATGTACAGTGATGTCACTTTTTGTGTGTACTGCTGTAACTTTTGGAATATCTTTCGAGATCAATAAACTACTACTACTATATAACTGTACAGGATTCACTCCTGACTTATTCCACCTCGTTTTAGACTATCTTCCACATCTTTCCGAGCCTGTCGGACTTGGCCAACGATGAATGGATTCCTGCCTGGAAGATTGAGACACTGGTGGAATTCCCCCAGAATTCTGCTCCATCCTTGCAGAATTCCCGCCAGGACCTGAGCCAGCTGCAACCAGGCGACTGGGTCCAGCTGGATAAAGGTGCAGTACCCACTTCCAACTACTAGGTGGCATCCTATGTCTACTTTCAGTGTTTTGTATTTGTATGCATCATTGTCCCTGTTCTGTACTACAGAGGCAATACAGAAACTCATTTAGCTGGTAATGTTTGCATTGAAGCCATTGTGTCTTATTGAACAAATACAGACATTTTGTTTTTGTGACTAAGTTTGGGACACGGCTAAGCATAAAGCACAGATATGAGCAGTGGAAAAACATGCCTCCTCTGGGTTAGTACAGGTCAGGAGCTAAGGGAGAGTGAGAGACATTACAGACCAGGGAAAATGGGAACAGATGCCTTTTCCCACACGTTAGTGACTGTGCTCCTGTGCGTGAACTCCGGTGCCCATCTGGACCGTAAACAGCACGTGCAGCATCCTGTGAGTGAGTAGAAGGTGCCTTTGTGAATGTCAGGTGAGACGGAGCGAGAAGAGCGCTGGGTGGAAGTGCAGAAGAAAATCACACCCTGGAGAGCCGGCATCCAAGAGCAGGACCTGGACCTGCAGCTGGCCTCCCAGCAGAGGGCAGCACGCCTGGGCAAGCTCCACGGCGCCCTCCTAGTGGTCGCGTCCCTTATCGACAAGCCCACCAACCTAGGTGGTAAGTGGCTGATGGGGGATGGGGTAAAACAGAGCACCTTCATTCACTTACATCACCCAAATAAACACTGTGAGTGACCACCTCCTCCCCTTCGATCATCTCTCCTTCCCCCACCTCCCTCCGTGCCGGTGGGAACACAAGTTTCAGTTTCCAATATTTAATTCTTATCTGTGTTATACAGTGGGTATTATGGTAATACAATAAGTACAAGCACCGGCAATAAATTTATAAATACTGCCATGTGAGATTCTACACAGACAGGATGATTCGTGCTCTTGTAACTTTGCCCAGATCACTAAGATGAGTCAGTTACCAAGCAGAGGTGGTATGTCCATTTGCGAAAGCTGGGTAAACGCTCTGCTGTGTGTGTGTCTGAAAAGAACTGCATACACAGACAGAAAAATGATTAATTTGCTAATCATTAAAAACATAGTAACTGTCACGTAAAATGTGCTTCCGGTTTACAATGACAATACGTTCTTTAATAAAAACAAATACTGCCAGACAGAAAAAGGCTGGATGATTTGTCAAAGCGTGTAGGATAAATGTGCATGATGGCTTTTTAATTGCTTGCCTTGTATATATTCAGTCAGTCTCCTTTGCATGTTGGTGAACACGCTGACGTATTTACACGAATCTGACCGGGGCTTATGTGCAGGGCTGTGCAGAACGTGCGAGATCTTCGGTGCCAGCACTTTGGTGCTGGACAGCCTCCGACACGTCAGCGACAAGCACTTCCAGGCCCTGAGCGTATCTGCCGAACTGTGGCTCCCCCTTTTGGAGGTGAGTGGTCCTGCATATCCTGCCATATTTTCCTCGTCTAGCAGTCTTTTACAGCTAAAAATAAGTCCATAAGGAAACTTTTTTTTTTTTTTTTTTTTGCACAGTTGAAGGTATTTTAACATTTGTGAATCCTTTCTCGGAAGGTTAAGCCTGCGGAGCTGGCAGACTTCTTACAGTTGAAAAAGACAGAAGGTTACTGCATTGTGGGTGTGGAGCAGACAGCGAACAGCCAAAGTTTGCAGAACTACAGGTTCCCTGAAAAGACCCTCCTACTTCTGGGGTAGGTGTCTGTCCATGTGCCTGCTGCCGTCAGCCATAAATTCGATCCATACCTGTTCCCCATCTCTTCTATTATTGCTCGCTGGTTTATTTACCCATAAATACAGTTATTCTTCTACCCACACAGTAACAGCTTCTGTACCATGCAAGTAAGACATGTTGAATAGGTTCTAATACAAAAATAGCATCTCCTTGGCCTGTTATAACAGCAGCTCAAGTGGCTGCCCACCTGGATGTAGTGAGCCTGGAGACCGGTGGCAGGGATTATACAGTACCATGCACTGTCAGCTGATTTAGCTCACTTCCTGTTGTCGTACTGGTTCCCATTGATTGACGGCGCACAGTCATCCCACCCACTGTGGGCAGCAATGCCTTCTCTCCCATCACTGATGGAGGTAATAAAGGTTTTGAGTCGTATCGTGACCTGTGTCCGAACCAAAGCTGCAAAAAACTCTCCCATATTAGAACCTTCTGCCTTGTGTCGTGACCTTATTGATACCTTACAGCTGTAGCCCAGCCAGTGGGGCTGCAGACGGCCACAGCAATGCAGCAGCCCTGTGATTGGTCACGATCTGCATACAAACAAAGCCTGCGTGCACCTCCCTCTCCGTGCGCCGCAGCTGACACAGCTCTTTAATTTCATCACCCTAATTGATTGCTCCACCTGCCCCCACCTATGTTTTGCCTCCCTCCATGATGCGAGGACACGTCCGGGCATGCTGCTGTCATGATTACCTCAATGAGAGAGCGCTGAGGATTGGGGCAAAAACATATCTTCTGTGTCGGAAACATTTGTTCCTAAAGACTAATGCTGTTTCAAAATGAAAGAATATGGGGGGGGGATTTATCACGATAGGAGTAATCATGCATGTGAATATTTTTGGGAGGATCATACTGGATAGTCCCCCTGGAAGGTGCATGGATTTTGTGGCGTTGAGCACTTCTTGTGTTGCATGTAATATAACTCTGTTACCACTAGGTGGCTGCACCCATTTCTCCTTCACTCTCATGCTCCTACTGATACGCAGGAATACACAAAGGAAACTCTGAATGCTAGCTTCTGTCTAAGCAGGACTGTCAGCAGAGCAGCAGGGTATTTGTAAGACCCAACATTGTGGAGTCCCTCTAATTTTCAGCTGGCTGGTTAATTCCTCTCTGTGTGAGCCTCGCTGTCTGGATCTGTATGGTGGGTCTGGTGTAATTCATCTGAGCTCAGTTGCTTAATTAATTCCCTGGCCATGTCTTCTCTCTTTCTCTTTTTTTTTCTGGACAGTAACGAGCGAGAAGGCATCCCAGCAAACCTGCTGCAGTTGCTAGACATCTGCGTGGAGATCCCCCAGCATGGTGTTACACGTTCCCTCAATGTGCACGTTAGCGCCGCCCTACTGGTGTGGGAGTACACACGGCAGCACCTGCTCTCTCCCAGCTCCCGGGTCCCCGATCATAGCCTCTAAGAGTGGGCCTCTTGCCACTAATTCTGCCATCTGACAGTAACTGATGGCTGGACAGTAACTTTCGATCTTTATCCTGCATGTCCCAGAATTCCACCTGGTGATAAGTTTTTCAAATTTATATTTAATAGGCTCAGAACGCAACCTTTTTAGTGTTTTATATAATCTATATGATTTTTATGAGGTCAGTGTAATTCTTTTACGTATATTAATAAATATTCTTGTATAAAATTTTATATACATTTTTTTTTATTTTCTAACAGTGCACTGCATTTTTCTTGGTGAAAACTTGCCTGTCTTAGTTTTGATTAGAGTTTGCTTTTGTGCCTTGGCTAGTTTGGTCTGCTCACTTGGTCAGTTCTACAGGTCACTGCACCTCTGTGCGGGTAATTCTCCATTTTCCACTAATACTGATTTCTGGTATTAATTATAGGTCTAAAACTTAATATCCTGTTAATTTAGCCAGAGCTATTCCACATTATCTGTTTTATTATAGAGGTGCTATCAGGGGGCATGCAATAAAAAAATACTAATTTGTGGCAGTTTAAACCTACATTGAACCTGCTGCAGTTCCCGGCTTTTCAGGGAAGTCGGTATGTTTTGAATTGAAACCGGTGAGAGTGCAATGTGCGCCAGTTATTCATTTCTACCCTATCATCCCGTTGACCAAACAATTTTGGAAATGATATCATTGTTTAAATAGGCAATGTGCGCTTTATCAATGTCATTATCTTTGTCGGCACCGACAATCACAGATGTCAAATATTTTGTTCTGTGGTTGTTATTTGTATTGTTCTTTTCACTTAGAAAAAAGAACGAAACGTATTTGATTTTCCGTTCTTGTAACGAAAAGAACTCCTCGAACCCCCTTTTACCGATTTACCGGTAAGGCTTTGTGAGGCGAGGTGGGGCCGGGTGCTGGTGAACCGCTAGGATGGGAACGGGTCGCCAGGTTAGAACACTGGCACGGAGGGAGGTGGGGAAAGGAGAGATGATCGGAGGGGAGGAGGCGGCCGCTCACAGTGTTTATTTGGGTGATGTAAGTGAAAGAACATCGGTGCGTCAGTAATATAGCAACAGTTTTAATTGCTGTTTTTTGTGCCATTCCTTGCTCCTCGGCACTTATGCAGTCTTTACCATGTTGAAAACTACTTTGCTCTCATGGCAATTTCATGCGCGGGGAATCCACAACTTCACCTGCGTTTGGGACACAATTGCCACTGTTTGGGGCATCTAGCAGGCGGGCGCCTAGACTGGATCCAGCTCCGATGGACATGCCAGCCAGCTGGGCTGCAGGCTCTCATTTCCTTGGCGATATGCGCGTTTCCTTCCTGAACTCAACGAGGAACCCGCCGACTGCGTCCTCCAAAACCAGCCTGCTCATGGAGGTGCTGATCGTGCTCATGTGCCTCGGCGCTGTCACTGGTGCGTAGGTGAAACCTAGTGCTGTTTAATAATATTAATACTATAGTCTTTCTGTCTTGCTTCGTTATCCTGATCGCTCATATTTAATAGAAAAAAATGTGGCCCAATTATCTCACCACTGGACCTAAAAACACTACAAAACCCGACACATAACTAATCACTGTGATTTTTCTATAAAGTGAATTAAGCTAAGCTGTCAGTTTTATATTTGAAAGGAAATATTACTTTCAGGTTATTAATTATTTGGTTTATAGTTTTAATTAACCGAATGTATGCATTTATCTATGAGTGTGTGTGTATATATATATATATATATATATATGTGTGTGTACTGTATATATATATATGTATGTAGATGCTAAAAAAGTGTGTTGTCAGAGGGGGCGGATATTTAATTAATTGCTTCTGTTCAGGTAACATTCTTGTCATCGTGATCGTGGCTGCCACCAAGACCTTCCACTCGGTAACATCGGTGCTTATAATTAACCTCGCTATCAGCGACTTCCTCGTTGGCATTGGCGTCATGCCCTTTGTGGCGGTGTCTGTTATGAACAGCGGCTGGGTCAGCTGTACCGTAAGTGTGAAATTACGGCAATATAATTTTCTGCACTTTTATCATTGTGATATGTGTGCCCCGATACTAAAAAGAATAACCGGTCTATACAAACAAACTACAAATCTGTCTGGGGCTTTAGTATAACCCGCTGTCTGTCAAACGGCTGAAGTGTTAAAAATTGAGGACTTAAGTTGGAATTAGGCATGTTTAGTGGTTAAGCAGCTAATATTGTATATAGAATGGAATAGCTACTAAATTTATTGTCGTTCAGAACATACACCGGTTAGTGCACATCAGAAATTACGTTGCATTGACTCACCATCGGCCTGGCAGAGTGTATTAATACTAAAAAAACTACTTAAACTTTAAAAATATAAAATCTAAACAGAAAATCGAATATAAACTGAATACTAATATTAGATTTTCAGTAATCGTTAAGGATGTTCCATGAGGAAGGCCCTTAACCTGAATGTCCCCAGTAAAGTATGGAGCGTTATTAGGGGGTGAATATAAGTTGCCTCCAGAAAAAAAAAAAACTATTGTTGCCTCATCAAGTGGTAGCATATTACATAGATAGTTACTAGCACTGAACCTGTGTGCTGGGTTTTTTTGTTGTGAATAGTGTGGGTTTCTGCCTCCTCCAGGACCTGTGTCTGTACGTAGGGTACACCTCTTCCGTTTACTGTACGGCTTCGGTGCTCACGTTGGCCGCCATCGCCCTCGACCGCTACTACTCCATCGTGGACTGCCTGAGGTACAGCTCGAAGTGTACCGTCTGGCGGACGGGCTCGGCGGTGGTGTGGATCTGGCTGCAGGCCATGCTCACCAGCTGCCCGCCCCTACTTGGCTGGAGCAGCGTGGAATACGTGGCCCCTATGTACAGCTGCGCCGTCAACTGGTCCAGCAGCCCTAGTTACACCACCTTCATGGCCGCCCTCTCCTTCCTGGTACCGGCCGCCGTCATCCTCTTCTGCTACGTGAAGATTGTCAAGGTCGCCCGCTGTCACGCTCGCAGGATCCACGACCTGGAGGACCACCTACAGCGCAGCTGCAGGCTCCGGGCCCCGACATGCCCCACGGACCCGTGCCAGGAGGCCCCCAGTACCTCCAGGCTGGTGTACTACCTGAGTGGGCGGTTCGTCTCCGAGGCCCCCGTGGATGGGAGTGCTTTGGGGGCAGTTCTTCCAGATGCTGCCGCTGGTCCCCAGTCCTGCCCCAGCACCTCCAGCCAATCAGGGGGACGACGCTTGCCATCTCTCCTTGCGCACCTCCAGAGCAGCGGCCAGCATCAGCACCACAGCTCCAACCCCCACCATGGGATTGTGCGCCTCCTGCTGGTCATTTCTGCTTTCCTTCTCTGCTGGACACCCTACATCGGAGTAGCACTTGTGCAGGCCATAGAGACTGCCCTGTCCCGCCGCACTAGCCTGGTCCCACCTTCAGCAGTCACCTTCTCCTATTGGCTGGTTCTGTTCAACTCCGACATTAACCCCCTGCTGTATGCACTGCTCAGCCAGCGCTTCCAGGGGGCGCTCAGGAGTCTCAGGCGCAAGCTGCGAGCCAGGCTAGGAGACGCTGTACTGAGTGGAGGTGGGAGACATGCTGGGATGGAGGATGAAGGGCTTGGCTGTCGAGCACCATGTACCTTAACGATCCCGCATTTTCGGTCTCAACAGAGTCACCAAAGCGCTACTTCAGAAAGGACAACCTGCCGCTCCTCTGTTTTCTCTCTGGAGTCTGACATCCCCAATGCTTACAGAGAACACTTGGGCAGCATCTTCTTGCCGCACAGCTCTTCTTCATCTTGCTGTTCCTCCTCCTCCTCCTCCTCCTCCCCCCCTTGCTCTGCATGGCAGGACAGCAATGGAGAATGTGCCTGTGGGAAAATTGAGCGGCTGCAGGTGCCCTCCCATCCACAAGAGGGAAACAGACTGCCCTCCGCAGTGGCGACACTGGATAGGCAGGCGACATTCTTTTACGGGGAAATCACTGTAAGGGTGGAGCATGACGTGTGCTGAGATCCTTTGAGGTACTGACAGCATGAGCTCCGCATCTTTGTAGGCAGAATATGTATATTACTCTTTAACAAGCATAGGTTAGTTTGTCATTTTCTAGCATTTTTGTGTGGTAAACCATGAAATGGGGTTTGATTAGTGACAACAGATTTTTTTTCCCCATCATAAAGGCATTCGATGCATTACGGTTGGGTAATCACCATCCAGTGAAACACGAGTACCGATATAAAACTGATCCCTCACTGTCAATACTCTGCCAATGAATTTAAATAACTGTGTGGGGAGCTGAGACCTTTTCACACTTAATAGTTTCAGTACTGACTTTTAGATACTAGACTTCTTCCAGAGGCCCTGGACTACTGTGTTCAAAACCTGATCTTTCCTCTTGTGTTAGGCCTACTATTTCCCTCATTTTTGAGGTGATTAAAAAGATTAGGGAGTACTAGCAGGCTTGGGGAGTAACGGACTACAGTGTGTTACGTAATCTGGATACAAAAATAAATGACTGTATTTCATTACAGGTACTGAGAAAAAGAAGCGTAATCAGATTACAGTTACTTTTGTAATAAATCAGGATTATTTCTAGATTACATTATAATAAATCTGAAAACGAAGAACAGATTTCTGATGCGTTTATAAAGAATGCGAAGCAGATGGCGCCGTTTTCTGCATAAACAGCGCCTCTCGCCATAGATGGCCTCTCACGAGATTTGTTCTCAATGTTGTACTCAATCTCTCGTACCTGCGGTGTAAGTCCCCCCTACCTGTGGCTGGCTCCAGGCTCCCTTCTCTATTACTGCTCTCTTTCCTGATTTTTGTTCCACACTCCATTTGAGTAGAGCTACGCTGCTGTACCAGACGGATGCCCATCAAAAAAAAAACTTTTAAATGAAGCTGGACAGGCAAAGAGGCCGCCAGCATTTCAGTAGTACTTATTACAAATGAACACAATAGTGTGCAGTACTTCAGTTTAATTTGTATAGCCCAAATCACATGAATTCAGCTTTATTTGTAGAGTCCCAAATCACATGAATTCAGCTTTATTTTTAGAGTCCCAAATCACATGGACAACACGTACATATAATACTGTCTGTTGTTGCATTCTCACGTAGGATAATTTCCTCATTGCTGTTATTAAGGGTCTAAAGTACGTAGTGTTATGAAACACTATTGTTTTTGTTAGGATTCTTATTCTTATTGTTTTATTATTAGGCCAAACTGCGTTCCGTTGTACGAGTAGTGGTATTTGTTCTTTACTAGGGAAAAATGTGGAGACGTATTCCGACTCCCGGCTTTTACCCCAATGGCGTTCCATAATAATGTGTATATGTATCATATATAATTTATTATATTTATTTATATATAATTTATATATATTAACACATGTTCCGTTGGCTAATAAAAAGATGATCTTTTTGACATTTCTTTACTCTTGTCTTTAGTTAGCATTAATGTAATCCAAAAGTAACTAAAAGTAATTTGTTACATTACTTTTATTTTGAGATGCTTAGATTATATTATTGATTACACTTTTCAACAAGTAATTAATAACGGTACCGGATTACATTTTTAAAGTAGCTTAACCCAACCATGAATATTAGTAACAACATATATTTTTTTTTTTTAAAGTTTAATTGCTGCCCTCTAATAATCATTTGTAAGTGCTAGTTGCTTGGACTGCATTTACGTTTCTCACAACTGGAAAAATCAGTTCCTGGAAGCTGGTTAAAGTGTTATTCTCTTAATTTCCATCCATCTGAAGTTTTTTTTTGACTTTGGTCCATTTTGTTCATACCCTAGGCTGGTGGACCTAATAAAGTAGCCCTTTATGTCCTCTGTATGCAGGGGCATCTGTATGTCTTACTGTAGGTTACAGATTAAAACAAGTTTTCTGCTGCACATTTTGCATCGTTTGGCAGGCTAAATTATATAATTTGTATGGCTTGATCACAATCCCCGTATCCCAGCCTCATTTCCTTGTTCCCTTTCTTACTTTCTCAATGATGAATTCAAACCTGAAAGCATAGAAAGCTCCGTAGCTGTTTTTGTCCCGCTGTTCCCATGTACAAAGCTTCCAAACTCAATCCATACCGAAAATGTTTAATTTACATTTCAATGTGCCTGAAAACAACAGACGGCACAAAATAAACTGAAGTATAATTTATTCATTTACACGTTTTTTTTTTTTCCTCAAATGTGATCTTACATTGCATTTCAGTGTAAAAACCATCATTCCTTACAAAGGTTTACAGTTACATCTAGCAATAATCCCAGAGGAATACAATATAATATTTTATTGCCATTGTAAAAAATGACAATGGGTGACAGCATTGATGTTTTCTATTGCAAAAAAAGGCGATAGAACCACACAGCCTGTGTCCCGCATGCTCTCATCTTTGAGTCCACGTTCCGTTCTGTTCAGGTAGCACCATATATATATATACTTCAGTATACTGACAGAGTGGTGTCTGCCCTAAGTTTCATCTGTTTATCTTGCATTCAAGTTAAACATGAAGACATGAATAGCTTTCAAACAAGCCTAAGTTGTGTATTTCCTAGGGCATCTGGTGTTCATGATATAGTCTGAATCAAAGTGGTGCTGCTCCCTGACAAGCTGGCAAAGCTGATTCTCTGGTAAATATGCAACTCTATACACTGTTGTAACAATACAGTATTGTAGGCTGGGCAAGTTACAGAATCACCTAATGTAAGCTGTATCTTCAGGGATTCGTTCTGTGTCAAAGGCTTTGCTGTTCTCCTGAAGCAGGAACTGGGGAACCTGGCATTTCGTGAGTGTTACTCAGTCAAGGAGCTTCAGCAACTGAAACATGCTGAGGAAGATGACAGCAGCCCCCAAGACTATCAGTCAGCTGAGGCACCTGTGCTAGAATGAATGAATGGCAACACACAGAACAGTTTAGTAGTATGTGGTGCTTGGTGAAGAATTAGCAGCTTTTGCAGACAAGATGAAGAACTGCCCAGACCCAAGGCTGAGATGTATGTGTGAAGGAGAACACAGCTTAATGTGGATGGTCAGAGAAATAGTCATACATTCATGGCAGGGTGGATACCAAGGATCACAGTCACACACACACACACACACCTCCCACACCCACTAATATCCCCATAAGTCCATCCCCCATCTGGATGTTACTCACTTGGATATGGCAATACCTATTCACAGTGTTCCAATTGCTCACTGTCTATGTACCAAAATATGTGGAATTGACACTAAGCATAAACTTTAAAAAGTATCTAAAAAGAAATCTTTTGAATGCTATTCACCCCCCCCCCCAGGATTAAGCAGATAACTGCCATCCTGGCATTAAAGGCTTTAAATTCATAGTCATCTGCTGGGTGAATTATTGTAATATGCATTGACAATGAAATTAACTTGAGTCAGAACTCATAAATACCATCACAGTATGGACCCTCTGGTATGTGGCTATAGTTATTACTCAAAAAAAAACATTTTCGCAAAATCTGTGGTAGAGTAAGCAGTACAGTGAAAGAAGGCCTGTAGTTCCAGCTGTGGCAGAGGCTTAAGATGTGTGCACTCTTGCCAATTTTGCCTTTGCTTAGCTCACACACGGCATGCAAAGCAGGCATGGATTCGGCGTGACTGCTAAGCACGGTATGGCCAGCGGCAACGGTGAGGGGACGGGGGCTCTGGCCTGCTAGGGACTGTGCCCATGATGGTTCTCAGTGCCTCAGGGAAGCCTCACTCCCGGGAAACTGTCCCCAGCAGGCTGAACTTCCTGAACCTTCAACACATTCTCGGTCTTAAGTAGCTCTCTTTCGTGTGTGAAATCTTCCTCAATCATGTCTGCTCCCACCCAGAGATGTATTAAGGCGGTACCAAAAATATATACAGTGCAGTGAGGACAGGTATAGACCATTAAATTTCACCACAGTATAAGCTAAAATTCAATAAATGTCTCCACCAATGGCAAGTTTCTTTGGATGAGTATAAGAATTTTCCTCATTGGCTGGTGACCTGGTATGCAAATATCTTCAAGCCAACCATTATCCCTGTTTGAGCAACTGATTTTGGAATGATGTCGCTGTTATGGTTCTTGGCTGGGCTTCCAGAAACGGGTAAGTGATGCAAAAGGTCCTTCCAAAGAATGGATAAATAGTGATGGAGCTGAATGGGAAAGGGTAGAGTGAGGCAAGAAGAAAATATGTATTTAAAACCCATGCAAACTACTGTACACTTTGAAGTAATTATGGACTGCTGTACTTCATATAAAACATTAAAAATTATATTTTTGACTTTGAGTTCAAATTATAAACTATAATACCTGTGCTTTTTTTGCTTCCTTTTGGTAGAGCAGAAAAATAGGAGCTTCTTCCCCATCGGTAAATGAATGGTTGAGTGCACAACTGGCTGAATTTTAAAAGGTGAGCGGCTTGCCAGGCAGGATTGGTCTGGCCGGCGTTCAGAGGCGGGCTCAACATGTCAGTGTGTGAATGTCGACATGGACGTCCGGGCCCTGCGACTCCAGTTGAGTCCCCCACAGGCGCCTGCCTCTCCGGCACCCTCGACGGCCTCCTCCTTCTTGCGCAGCTTGGAGCTGAGCTGGATCAAGCACTGGTCCCAGTCCTCGGGCAGCAGCAGCATTAGGAAGCCCAGGCAGATGATGAAGACAGCTATGAGGCGCACCGTGTTGAACTGGATCTCACAGGTGTACAGATCCACCACTGTGGGCAAGAAAAACGTATGCAGGGTACACTCATTAGTGCACACCTCACTGGTAAAGACCCTTTAACCCAGTTCACTCATGCAGAACAGGTCAATAAATAATGCAAGGGGCTTCTTAATACCACTCCTTGGGGATGGTACACCCCCAGCCCCCAAATGACTCATCTGGTCTCTGTGCCAGATTTAAGTACTCAGAATCAGTTTACACAGAGCTGGGAAACCTACTGGATGTAGCCAAGTCCAAAGAGCAAAGGGCACATTCCTTACTCTGTCCAGCTGGCTAGGTAAATAAATATTAGTCATGATGCAGTCAAAAGCCAAATTCAGCGCCTTGAGTATTTTCAAAACACAACATACTCACATTGTTACGTCTAAGAATGCAGTCTGTCATTAGCTGCTTTCGACATCGTTAAATTACGAACAGAGCAGGTTGTATGTCTCCTGATTCAGTAGATATATTACGCTACTTCCTAACATTTTTGTGTGTCCCTGAGCAAATCATTATGGGAAATACACAGTGTTTAATTTAAATAAAGCTTCATAGGAAACATGCAGAAAATTGCCTTTATTTTTCCTGATAAAATACATAAATACCAAATAGATAGAATAGATATCAAAAACATCAGGAAATGTACCAAAATAGTGAAGGTGGATGATTCTGATCCCCCCAAAGCTACTACTGACATTAACTGTAGTGTATTGTATTTAATAAGCATATTGCACAGTGGAAAACCAACAAGGTGAAGACAAGGAGACAAAGGGCCCTATTCAGCCATGCACATAACTGCTCTCTTTTTTCACTTTGCAGTAATATCACTTACAGATGACCATGGAATTTCTAGCAAGGAAGAAATTTCACAAACTGACTTATTGCTAAGGTGGCATCCTATGACAGAATCAGGCTTGAATTCACTGAGCTCTTTAGAATGACCCATTCTTTCACAAATGTTTGTAAACCAGACAGTATGGTCTGAATGAAACACCCGAATTCAATGATTAAGAGATGTGTCCCCATACTTCTGCCCATATAGTATATTGATTCGTTCTTAAACATGATATGAGTTATTCTTGCAAACTGGTAGCTGTGGCTCACTACGCCCGACTAATTTGCTGTATTTTCTGATCCCACTAGATGGTGCTGTCCTGACTCTTGGCAATCGACAAGTTAGCAAGTTTGGCATGTTCGGCTGAAGTGTTTACTAGGCAATTCTTGTGAGGCTTCCAAGACCCATAGGAGATGTTTATGATATAATTTACTACTGTATTATTATTATTCCTTATTTAAAATGCATGGAATTACATTGTTGGTCACTGGTATCCTCTCCTGAAGCCAACACCTTCTCGTGGTGGAAGGGTTTGCGTGTTCCAATGATCCCAGGAGCTAAGTTGCCCGGGGCTTTATGACCCTGGTAGGGTCGCCCAAGGCAAACAGGTTCTGGGTGAGGAACCAGACAAAGTGCGGCTCATTAGCCCCCTGATAGTGACTAACAACACAGATTCACATTTTCCCTAGCCCAGATGTGGGTCACCGCCCCTAGAGCCAGCCCTGGGGGTGGGGCTCGATGGTGAGCGCCTGGTGGCCCATGGGGCCTGGTTGGGCACAGCCCGAAGAAGGCACGAGGGTCCCCCCCTCCAATGGGTTCACCAACTGTAGGAGGGGCCATAGGGGTCGGGTGCGATGTGAGTTGGGCAGTGGCCAAAGGTGGGGACCTTGGCGCTGCGATCCTCGGCTGCAGAAGCTGGCTCTAGGGACATGGAATGACGGGGAAGGAGCCTGAGCTGGTGCGCAAGGTTGTGAGGTTCTGACTAGATATAGCCGGGCTCACCTCGATGCACGGCTTGGGCTCCTTGAGGGGGGTTGGACCCTGTTCCACTCTGGAGTTGCTCGCGGGGAGAGGCGCTGAGCAGGGTGGGCATACTTACGCCTGTACATTGGGGATTAGCGCAGTGGATGAGAGGGTAGCCTCCCTTCGCCTTCGGGTGGGGGGACGGGTCCTGACTGTTTTTTACGCTTATGCGCGCAGACCAGAATATCCACCCTTTTTGGAGTCCTTGGAAGGGGTGTTGGAGAGTGCTTCTCCTGGGGACTTGTTTTGCTGGGGGACTTCAATGCTCACGTGGGCAATGACAGTGAGACCTGGAGGGGCGTGACTGGGAGGAACAGCCTCCCCGATCTGAACCAAAGTGGTGTTTTGTTATCGGACGTCTGTGCTCGTCACGGATTGTCCATAATGAACATCATGTTCAAACATAAGGGTGTCCATATGTACACTTGGCACCAGGACACCCTAGCCCGTAGTTCAATGATCGACTTTGTGGTCGTGTCATCGGACTTGCGGCCCAATGTATTGGACACTTGGGTGAGGAGAGGGGCAGAGCTGTCAACCGATCACCACCTGGTGGTGGGTTGGCTCCGTTGGTGGGGGAGGAAGCCGGTCAGGCCTGGGGAAGACCCAGGACACACTGGAAAGACTATGATTCTCAGCTGGCCTGGAAATGTCTCGGGATTCCCCCGGAGGAGCTGTACGAAGTGACCGGGGAGAGGGAAGTCTGGGTTTCCCTGCTTAGACTGCTGCCCGGTAGAAGATGGACAGATGAATGGATGGATGGTCAACAGTATCATTGTTTTTATCATTTAATTCATTTTGTTTGGAGTGAGTCATTTTGCCCTAGCCCTATTTCCCTTATTGTTTATTTTAGTACATGATTTTAGTGACTGTGAGGTTTTTTCAGGAATGCATTACTCACGTTATAGCAGGCCTGATTGTAACTAGATATATGTCTATACATCATATGCGCAAAATGGAAAAAAACAAGCTTGCAATTCCTAAAAAAATGCATAAAAATTGCACCATTGCTTTCGTCATTTTAGACAGCGAATCACAGACTTGCGGATCATGGTTTCAAGTGTCAATATATGTAGCCTAGTCAGTGTCCACGGGATTGCGCGGATATCTTGGATGATTTAATCCAGCTTGGTTAATCTGTTTTGCCAATGGTATTGAAGAACCGAAATAGCTGGATAACTGTATCCACGATTAGACGATCCTGGATGATTCTTTTGATCTTGGATATTTTAAACCATGTATTATGAAGAATATCCCCCTGATGCTGCTTCTTGGGGTTCCCCCCCCCCCCCCGTGCAAAGACATGCCAAGGTGAATTGGCGTTACTAAATTGTGTGTGCCCTGCGATGGGTTGGTGCTCCATCCTGAGGAGAACCCACTCAAGGAAGCTGAAGAAAATAGAAATGGCAGCAGACGATGCGGGGGAACTTACTGGCGTTAACAGGGACACTAAGGACGATTCCCAGGGAAATCAGCGTGGGGTTAGTTACTGCAATGCCGAAGTTTACCAGGATGTTAAATGCTAAAGGGGGGTAAAAAAAATACACACACACAATAAAACCTTAACAACGTGACGTTGGGGAGGTAATTTACTGTGGCATTTAAGGCGTACAAGAAATACTCTCAAACATGCCTAAAAAATTCACAGTTAAGGAGTTTACTGGCATCATTGAGTTAAAAGAAAGTAGCTACAGTAACCTCTTGTTGTTGCAGCTTTATGTAAAAAAAAAAATTACTGACACAATGTTTATACATAATATCAATTACAAGTTCATGTACTGATATAAATGCAGTATGGACTCATATTGTTTCCAGTAATGCTGGTGATCAGTCAGATTTTAGCCAGTAGGATATCCAGTGGTGGGTAAGTTAGTGATGCTAACTTTTTTGTTAGGGGATAAGCGTTTCTGATGACTGAAAACTTTTAGCAGACCAATTAATTTCCGTTAAATTTAGTTTTGCTATCTGTGAATCCACTAACATTTTTCTGCAAGTAAATAAAGTTTAACGGTCAAAAACATTTGTAAATCCTAAAATTGCACATGTGTGTTCCTGTCTGTTGTGAGTGCGTCTGCAGCAGCCTATCTGGCAGGCTGTATGCTGACTACAATGAGTACAAGACAAGATTAGTCAATATATTCAGCCCAGATGACAAGTTACGTGAACAAAGATGAAGTCCATTTAAACTGAGGTACCCTGAACTAAGCAGAGAACTGGGGCCTGTATCACAAAGCTGGATTTCTTGCTTGGTCACACCATCTTTTGTTTGCTTATATTCAGCCCAGACCACCTCAAATATGATAAATTGTCCAGATAAGAAAAAAGTTCTGCTTCAGCCCCTGGTTATTTTCCTTTATTTTTTGGGTTCTGATTAGGTGCTATAGTAAGACTACTAGACGAGCTGTGACCCTCCTTTCTAGTTCTGGGTAATCCTCCATGTTTGTAGTCCCCAAGTGGCTTCACTGAGGGCAAAATGAGGGCATGAGCCAGTTGCAGAATAGAACTTCTCTGACAGAAACGCTTATATGTCGCAAATGAAATATCATTGAAGGAGAACATATTCCAGGGACTCCATGCCAATTAGGCATGTCCAAAATATCCCCAGGTAATCACTCTAACCCTAAATTGCTATACAGGTTAGAATTTCAGCTCTCCAGGTATGTTTCTAAGGGTTTCAGAGTCTCAAACCAAACCACGGTTAGCGGCTATCATTAGCTTCTGCTGATTTTTTTAGCGGTTCATTGGTTTATCAATTTAAACTTGAGAGTTAGCGGATTTGCTATCTCAAAGCTAACTTTTCCATTAGCTGTGCCCACCACTGTCCTTATCTGATGGATGTTTTACCCCACACATTACTGCAATAAAACAATATATCTATTGTTTCTGCTGAACAACCACTCACCTAAAAGCAAGCCTGCCACCCCACACAGGAAGCCCCAGGGGATGTTGTCTGGTGAGCCAAAGTACTCCACATGTGTGAAGTAGAGGATGACAGGGATGAAGCTTATGAATACGAAGTTGGCCCCGCCCACAATGGTCAGAAAGAGCGCTGCCTCTCCAAACTTGGCACTGCCCAAAACCAGCTTGAAGAGCACCTGGGGGAAAATGGAGACCTTCATAAACCAATCCATTGGTTGACGCATGCCTGATGGATAGCTGGCTGAGGGTGAGACCTGGCAAACATCTTCTGCCTCTCTGCCATTCTTTTAATTAGATGTTAATGATCTCAAGCTGAAAGTATAGTGTGGCTCAGTCATGATGTACACCCTCCTCAGTATCAATCCATCTGGGGGGTGGATAGGAACTGTGAGTTGTTGACAACCACAATCAATGCGGTTTAATTGATCAAAGCTGTGTTCTGCCAACGTTGCACATGCTGATATCCAAGCACAGTTATTCACATTACAATGTCTTTCAATTGAATTATTAAGGAACCTATAGTGACAACACTTTACTTAAAGCTGTCATCTATAATGCATTATAGATAACTTCATAATGCATTATAATGGTTGGTATAAGAATTAATAAAGCATTATAGCATCTTCCATTGACAGTCATAAAGCATTAAAGTGTTGATTATAACACTTCATAAGCTCCAGTGAAGCTCTAACTTATAGTGCACTATAGATACCTCTTTAATGAAGCATAATGGACCGTATAAGAATTAAAGATGCTTTGCACTGCACTATGAATGACTGCTTCATAAAGTATTCATAATGCATAATGAACATGTTTTTAATGTGTTATGCTTTTTTATAAATATTTATAGCCATGCTTATAATGCTTTATGAATGCATAGTACATTGTGAATGTGTTCATAGATTCATAGACATGGCATTCATAGAAAGTGTTACCACTATAGTTTTATTTTTTCAACATATTAAAATCTGCTAAAGCACCAGGACAAAACCAAACATTTCTTTGATGAAATGTTATCTGCACTGGAGCCTGAACAGATAGATAGCACACCTAAGCAGACGCATGGTACCCGACAGCCTGGTTTAAGTATTTCCAGAATCCCCAGCATTCATCAGACTGTAAATTGTGTGGATTACATGAGCAGCCCTGCTGTCCGCTCACCTTGTACAGCGCTGACATCGAGGCAGAGGACACCACCAGGGTGATGCCAATGACGGAGTGGCTGTGGAACCCGTCGGCGTACGTCATCATCACAATGCCAGCGATGGCCAAGATGGCTGCCACAATCTGCGCAGAGGAACAGGAAGCGTCTTAGTTTGGCAGGAGAAAGAGATCGGAGCACAAACGACCCCAGATGGCTTCATCCCTCTCAGCGCCACGTCATTTCCCCTTGAGCTAATAGCTGCCAGGTTGCTGGAGTGCTGTTCAACTTCTTCCCGTTTGATTGAGGTTCCAGAGACCAAAAGATTGTAGGCTAGTACGTCAGCATATAAACAGTAAACTGACTTGAAGCATAGTAACATGGTCTAATTGGGATTACATAGGTATCCTGGCTGACACATTACGGCAAGTGCCACCTGTGGTCCTGAAGAAAAGTGTTTGCAGCTGGGTTATATAAGACAGCAAGAGCAACACAAACGGCTGAAGTATGGCTGGAGCCAAGTGGCCACATGAGCTGATGTAATGCTAACTCCCCCAGCCGGTCCATAAGGGGGTTCAAATTCTGTGCCACTAATACACGTGAAGAAGGTGTTGTTACTTTGAGATTCTCACAGTATCACTTTTAACACACGTGTTAATAATGAGTAACAATGTCTAATGATAGAAATGTGTAAATCCCTCCTCTTCCCCCCCCAAAAAAATGATTTCAAGTGAGAAATGGGGGAAGGGGCAAAAACAGGGGGAGTTTCCAGTAACTGATTGTCATGTAACAGGTACAGATGGCATGATCAGCATGGCTTACTACTGAGCTAAATGAACGCAATTTTACGACGCCCTCCGCTGCCACATCTGAAACCTCCCACCCGCTCTGTAGGCCAATGGCAACCAGATGCACACCAGCTTGCTCTCACCTCCAGTAAAGAGAATTTCCCCATGGGGATCAATAAAGTATCCATTAAAGTGTCAGTTAATACTTTGTGACAATATGGTATTGCCTTAGATCCAACTAAATTTTGGGTCATTCCATGTCAAATCATCACACTTTCAGACCTCATCGTCACGGATTTTAACGGAACTTGGCAAACTCAGTTGGTCACATGAGTAACTCATGCAACTGAAATTGGGCATGTTTTGGATCAATATTGAGGGAGATTTAAGTGAACAAAGTTTTAATTTTTCTTTTTTTTAGGGGGGCAGGTATGACTTTGACTGAATATATTTACCTTAATGTAAGCTGCACAGAAGTGGTCCTTATACTGGACATACACAATCCTCAGGGACAAAAATAAACAAATTAGATGGGCTTTTAGGCTACTAGGGCAAGGAAAGCATTTCAACATTGGTGTAATAATGCATAAGTTACATACAAGCAGTACTGTTTAAAGGGAAGGTGGGAATGTAAGAACATAAGCAATTGCTATACTCTCAATTTATAGTGCATCAGAGCCTTTGATGCAGCTTTTGTGTTTGCTTGAAATTGTGTATGCCTGCCCTGCTGTTGTCACAGGTTCAGCTACTAAAAGCACATCCTGATGATCCATAAGAAGTCTATCGGGATGGAGTAGGATGGAGATGGTCCATGAGGGATGAAAAAAGTTCAGTTTCAACACTCCAATGCTAGGCATTATTTGCTTCAACACATCCTAGCCACCAATTATCATAATATGCAGCCACGACCTTTGATGCCTGCAATGTCGAGTGATTCCCTCAGTGTGCACTTACGCTGGACCGATTTGCACACCTCACTCACCTCTGATAAATGCAGGGCATTTATTAGCCATATTTACTAGCTATGTGGGTCTTTTGAATAGTATGGCAAGTACAGGTTCTGCAATGACATTAATGAAGCTTCCATTAAATTTGATTATAGCATATTTGTAACCTTAATTAATGTTATTACTTACACCTGTGCTTGTTATGCTATTTCATGTCAATTTGGCTGCCTTTAGAAAGTGATATGAAACCATGTGACGCTGCCTTTAAATCAAGATATCTCAGCAACGACTTAAAAACCAAGGACCGAATTTTCTGGAGATGTTCATGACATTATGATCTTAGCAAAAAATTGATCAATTTTGAAATATAGGTTATTTCGTTACTGGATTTTTAATCTTTTAATCAGTTATTACATAGTAATTATTAATATGGGGATGGCATATTATTTGTTCAATCTATAGGGCTGGACAATAGCTTTAAAACAGTATAAGGACCATTTCTGTGCAGCTTATATTATGGTAAATATAGCCAGTCAAAAAAAAAGTTAAAACTTTGTTCGCTTAAATCTCCCTCAATATTGATCCAAAACATGGCCCAATTTCAGTTGCGTGAGTTACTCATGTGACCAAATCAGCATGCCAAGTTTTGTTAGAATCTGTGACGATGAGGTCCGAAATTGTGATGATTTGACATGGAATGGCCCTTTTTGAAATCGCAGTTGAATAGGACAAGAGTATAAATAGTCTGAATATAATGAAATAAAACTACAGCTGTAGGCTTGAGTCTTTGAGAAGTCTCATCTTGTTGGAGGCTGTCAGGTGGGAGGCTTTGGCCTCCCATATAGGACTCTGTTTGGGGTGCTACAGGACTCCCCAGAATCTGCTGGTCGGAGGATGACAGCCAGAGGGTGGGCTTGGCTAAGCATGGGGGAGGGCAAAGACTGGTGTTACAAGGAGAGCTGGACTAAGACTTAAAATGGTTTGCTATTTTCATCGCTTTCCTTACCCAAGCTCCTCCAAAATATCTACTTTCTATTCCCTCCCATCTCAAACCCACTACAGAGCTCCTTTACTACCACACATCTGCATGTGCTACTGCTGCACAGAAGTCATAAAGCCAGCACCACCAATTAGCTCAGGCAGCCCTAAGAACCTCAAAAGATAACGAATAAGAAAATGCTAATACATGCTAATAGATCATAATAAATCTGTTGCATACCACTCCCGATCATGGTAGGTTTCTAAAAATTAAGATAACACATAAATATTAAAAAAGCAAAACATTTGATTTGTTCTTCTATCCCAAATTTGTGACAAGGAAGTGCTTCAAAAAGACTGAAGTTACTGCCTAGTATATCTGCTGAAAGTGCATTAAAATACACTCCGGTGGCCACTAGGGGCGCTCTGGTGTCATCTCAGCTCCAACCCGTGATACATAATTTATGTTCCATACGAGGGAGGAGTCCAGCAGGTGTTTATAATATATGTCAAAGCACACTGCTCTTACACTGACACTCCTGCTCAACTGTGCAGTGTAATCAAATCATATGCAATGTCAGCTGCTCCCCCTGCTCATCTGTACCAAATGGGAGGATCTACTCAGCTCTATAGAGCCGACAGAAAAAAAGTATTTAGGAGAAAGCACCGCCACAGTGAGGTAACGCGGGGAGTGACTCGTGGGCAGGGTGAGCACCACTAACTCTCACCGTCAGTCAGCCACGTAAGCATATTCCAAGTGGGAAAAATACCACGTCTGCCCTAATCAAATTTTTCTCAAGAAAATTTCTTGGGTACCTCTCTCCAAATTCAATTTGCCATTTCCGCCCTTACAGAAAATAAAATTTAAGCACTTTTAAGACTTCATTTCATGCCATCATTTCAGTGTAACCAAACGATGTTGAACATCCTTGGAATTGATCGATCCCACCGAGAAGTTCAGTTGGTCCTTATTTACCTCTTCACACCCCATTCAGTTTCACCTGCATCAAAGTCATTGTTGTGACATCACATACCCCCCATACAGACACCTTCAAAACATTAAAGCCTGAATACCTACCCAAAGATGAATATGAGCACACATCTACTTTCTGTACAAAAGGTAAGCATGCATCCACCATACATTTTCTAAAGATATTATGTATAAAACATTGTTCGTTTGTTAAAGTCAAGTAACAAGTAATAAGGGTTGACCCTTCAGCACAGAGGTCAGAGCTGGGGGAGTGCATGGGTGATGAATGGGGAGCAGCCACGCTACCCAAGCAGATTAGCGCTGCATTAGCAAGGTGTCAGGAAGACAAATGAGCTGCCTAAGCTCGCCCTCCCAGCGTCTTGAGGAGTCTTGACAAAACGGAACTTTCTGTGATACAACGAATGAGACGTCGGTCACGTGCGGTACTCGTCCTCGCGGGGTGAAGCTATTCTACAAACCTACCAGAGATCTTGCGGTTCCATTGCCTTGAGTTTCAAAGGATGCATTGTCCAGGCTTGAAACAAACGGCAGCTCTCCCTGGTCTTACAACCAAAACACAAGAGGGTGCTGTTCAACAAAAACTCTCCTCTTTGCACAGCGAGGCTATAATGCACTTTTCAACTTACTGACACACTTGAAATCTAATCAATTGCGAAATGTCATAAACGATCCAGAGAATGATTGTGTGTTCCCATTCCTCCACCGCACACACCGCTGCCCATCTCATACCCTGGGCCCAAGTCCACTCCGATATCTTAAGATTTCTGCAGTAGAGCGCTCATGCTATAAAGGGGAACCCTCTCTGGTCCCCACCTTCATTTCTAACTTCTACATAATAGAGTCCACAACCTGCTACAGAAATAAAATCCTTCTAGCACACTGGAAGGGGGGGGGGGCTGGAACTGTATTACATGACATTTTCATCACCAAGAGAGTAAAGATGAGAAGAAAAGGAAGGGGAGGGAGAGAGGGAGCGAGGGAGCATGTAGTGAGGAGAGCAGCTGCGGAGATGAAAGCCTGACAGCAGGAGTGTTGGATGGATGCCAACTCAAAATGCTCGACACCCAACCCATACTAGAATCTTCTCCCCTTGCTTCTTTCCTGCTGATATTGTGCCCCCTGCCTCTGTCACCTCTCTCCTTCCCACCAGTCTCTCTGCGGGTGGTGGGGGTCAGGTTAAGCCGAGCCATGCTGTACATAATACCAGCAGGTAGAGTTAATCTCTGTGGCTGTCATCACGCGGTGTGATGGCACCTGCTGTGGAAGTGGCTCCCACGCATTCATGTCTTCATAGGGGATGAACACAGCATCTTTTTGCCTCAGAGGAGCCGCCACCTTGTACGCATGCCCTGCAAAGTGACACGACGTGACCGCGACCTTACCAGATTTACTAAAACACTTTCATAGTGCATCCTTTATTCAAAGACATACAGTTAACCAATTTGCTAAAAATAGCTTTCCATCAAAAAGGCCAGTGACTGTACATATACTCTTCAGGACCCCATTTTACACAGTTACAAACTATGAAGTGATGATGTCCCTGTTTGGCTCTTTGGGACACCCAACACTGCAGGACCATACTAAAGAGAGCCAGCCTTAAATACACACTCTAACCAAAAGCAACCAAAGAGCCTCGTTTATCCACCACAAAATCATTAGGAGACAATTATTTAAGAGCCACACTGGAGGCACAGGAAGTCTGTGCCAACCTCTAGTGCTCAGTGAATTACTGCCAAGCTGACTCTATAAACTGCGAGGGGGGGGGGGGCATTTTTTATGATTGCTGGATGGTCATCACACAGAAATGCTCATACAAACATGGACAAGCAGGCACACTCACAACACACAAGTATACAGTATTCCCAAAGTTACTAGATCAATGAAAGGACGGGAGGTTCCAGGACATGGGATCACATAAATGACAAGTTTCAGCATTGTTAGGGTGCATCCAAAACTGCATACTTGTTTGCTATGTAGTAGGCCAAATGTAGTATGCAAAGTCAGCAGTATCTCCAAATCCTCGGTGTGGTTATGAAAGTAGGCAAATGGTACCTGGATGACATACAGCATCCTGCAAAATTCCAAAGTGTGCAACTGATGGACGTTATGCTATCCCACAAGGCCACTAAAGTGACAAAGAATGTCACTTGCTTAGAATTTTTGTTAAGATGGCACAGTAAGTCTCTATACACATTTAATTAGAAAACAATGCCCAGTTACCTAAGCTGAATCGAAAGCCAAGTCAAGCTACATCACTGGAAAACATCCAGGTACTATGGAAATATGCAATTTAGGACACACCCTTAGACTGAGAAGAATGACCTGTAACCCTGTTACAACACATTCTGTAATAACGCTGCATCCTGTAATAACGACAGAATGTAACATACTGAATGATGATAATAATGATGATAATTTTAATAATAATAGGGTAATGTTGCAATATAAAATTATTCTATAAATGGTACATTTTGTCAAGTTATTACATAATGCGGCATTATTACATAATGCGTTGTAACAGACCCTCAAGGCTATGAACTGTGACTCCAGTAGACTTTGATAAGCTTGCACCATACAACACCCAGCACACATTAACCCTGGACATGGTGAAGGGCAAACTCACCCTGACGCCCATGAAGCGATCACGAAGCACTATCCAGGACAGCAGGAAAACGAAGGCCTTGTTGCAGCAGAAAAGCGTGGACACGTCGGTGGTGTTGATCTTGCGGAGCGCCTGAAAGTACAGGTAGTTTGTCAGGGTCCACAGCAGGCCGAAGGGGGCCACCTTGGTGAGGAACACCTTCGCTGTCAGACCGTCATCTCCAAAGAACCTGCAGCACTCCCTACAGAGGATCACACACACACACACACACACACACGCGCCAACACACACAGCACACAGAGAACACAGTGTTAATGAACACACACATACAACGCACAGAGAGCACAGCATTAATACACAGAAACATGCATAAGTCCATCTGTTTCACATACACTGTATTAATAAACACAGTAACACAGTAAAAAATAAGCACACACTCACACAAACAGTACTATGTTACTGATACTATGCTACAGATACCATACAGTGGGTGTGTATTCAGGGATGGGGACACAGGGGCATTGTACCCCAGCTCCCCATCACTCACTGATTCAAAACAAATCATTGCCTAGTTATAAGGCTGGCCCCTCTGTATGGATTACCACCCCTCTCATACCCTCCTCCGCACTGGCGTGCACAGATAGAGACGAGGTGGTGCTGAAGCACTTGCCCTTTTGCCCTCAGTCCAAAAAAGTGCCCTTTTGAAAGACGTGATTTTTTTTTTTTTTTAAGGTTGGGGGTTTTAAAAGGTTTTGAAATTATTGCTTGATTTGTGCCCCTTCTTCAAAGACACCCGAACCCTGTCGCTTTTTCACTGTCACCGTGTCACGTGAACACGCTTGCAGTTCATTTGTTGTGAGGCATGTAGCAGCGGCATGACATAGGACTACTTGGAGTAGGCATAGTAGGCTAACTATAGCGACTGGGAGCCACGGCGGACAACACGGCAGCTCTTTCCCTTCCCAACCAGTCAGGTAACCCATGAATCGAGTGAAATTATTCTGTTTGCCCTCTAAGACCAACCTGCAATTGTTTTGTTGTGAAGTAGCCTGTCAGAAACTGCACATGACAAACTTTGCCAGCTTGCCCCCTCCATCCATCCATATGGATAAACAAAAAAATGACACATTTAAAATGTAACCTAAACCATTTAGGCAACCCCACTCTCCATCAATTCCGACCTTTTTGCATACACTATTGAAAATATCACGTTATGCTATAGGCTACATGCCGTTAGGCAGAGGGCTCTTTTGAGCCCATTTTTCGTTACAAATTTTAGGATGATCTCACGGAAATCTGTGAATAAATACAAAGTTTTCAAACTGAAGTCAGTGACGGGAAGACATCACACTTTTTAGAGATGGAACTGCAGAAAAACCTAAAACCTTGACATGATTATGAATAATAGAATTATGGACGTTTCTCCGTTTTTGTGGATTAGCCTTTCCATAACTAACGTCAACTACTGTCCTACTTTGGTAAGATTGAAATTAATGTCTTTGACTGTCTTTAGTAGGTGTGATTTTTGATTTTTAGAGAATGTTTTGAAATAAAAGTCAAATTGCATTTAACCTGTGCGTTTTTTTTATTATAAAAAGAAAAGGTTTTCCACATATGCAAAAAGTGCCCTTTTTTCCCCCTGGAGCACTTGCCCCCCAAAATGTCTGTGCACGCCACTGCTCCTCCGCCTCCCCTGCCATACAGATGTAACAGTACTAGGGTTGAAAAATTCTGGGAATTTTCCATTAATTCCTATGTATTCCTGATAATTCCCATGGAAAGTTTCCAACTTTGAATATTTCCAAAATTCCCCAAGGAATGGAAAGTTTCTGGAAATTTTACCAACCCTACAAAGTACTTTAAATTCTATAGGAGCTCTATGAATTATTGTCTGTTATCCTTGTGGCTGACCACTTGTAGAGTTACTCCATCAATTCCCCCCATAACAGTCCCTATAACTGCCCCTGTAACTTGAGAGCAAAGTGCCCATACTGAGTATCGGGCACAAAGCCCACAACTCTGTTATTACCCAGAGCCCTGGCAAGCTTCCTCCCTCAACGTTGCTGGCCAGCACTCTGACGGCAGGTTGCGTTTTGTCACACCACCATTTCCTACGCTGCCCTAAAAGCTTTCGATTCTCTGCTCTTCCTCCCAGCCACCTTGCATGTAGAAGTGCTCTGACAGTATGCACAGAACCTGGCACTCAGATGTTCTGAACCATCAGTCAGTTGCTGGAATCTACGGCTAGACATGTTACTGAAACTGGCTGGGACAGTGTCGGTCATTTTACAATTAAACACTGAAATTATACTTGCAAGCCCTGACATTTCAGCAGTAAATCTCTCTGAATCTCTCAATATTGTATCTGTCAAAGACATGCAAGAAAGCCAAGAGCAGTGCTTAGGGACCAGAATTTTTTTAAACAAGCAGCTACACAACAGTAACTTAAGGAATATGAGGTCAGGGTTTCCTCTCATTTCATTACAGATTTTGGCTCGCGTCCAGGATCAATAGCAGACAACCAGCTTATCCTGCTTTTCTCTGGGCCCTCATGGGTAATCACAACCCGGGGGTTTCTGATGGCTTAAAGTGTTAGTCTCAGCTGATGAGGATAAGTAGTCCAACAAGCACATCAAGTCGAGAATTGAGTGTCCAATGCCTGAATATTTTCATTCACTCTTTGCAGTCTTTCTTTCCTAAAGATGTGTAAAGAACCCTATCAGAAAATCATAATACACAGGAGTTAAACTAAGGAAAACCTAAGAAAAATGGCTGAGCTCAACCGCACACAGGCCACAAAAACAAAAAAAAAGACTAAAAACAAACGCAGCAAAGGCACACTGGTGGGCCGCCCCTGCAATCCCAGAAGCCACTGCAGGACAACAAACTTGTGTCAGGGTTCGTGCTTTCACATGCTTGTGCTTGTATTCAGAGGCAGAGGTACCCTGCGAGGTGTGGGCACAGTGACAGTGGCCCTGTCGCTCAGTATGCACCATACACAGGGTATTGAGGGGGATGTGTTCTCGTCAGGATTAATACCGAGTATGTTAGTGTGGGGGGAGGCTGAGCGGAATGACAATCCTGTCACATCCCTCGCTACATCTCACAGCGAAAAGACCCACAGAGAGGGTTTCCTCAACAAATGACTGAACATGCATGACTGGAATGGGGATGGAAACGGTATGATTTCATCCATATGATTGACACCTGCTCTTGAACCCTGACCTTTTTCCTTTATAGTACAGAAGCAGAAACGATTTGACTCCAGGTACTTAGTGTAAAGGGGGGAAATCAAGTTACGAAATCTGATGGTGATGCAATAAGAATCAAGACCACTGAACTCTGTAGTCAAAGAAGGATAACCACTGTAAATATGCTGAACTGTGTAGTAACAGGAGCCAATGAGAAATGCTGTTTAAACAAACAATGTGAGCTCTGGCACCCCCTAGAGGTGAATCATGTCCTTACCTGAACCTCTGTTTCGGAGTCTGCCTCTCCGTGCTTTTGCACAGGTGTCCCACGTAGTAGAGGGGGAAGAAGAGGCAGTTCCAGGTGGTGGCGAACCAGGTGAGGGTGAAGGGGGCGTCAAACTGCCTAAAGGTGAGCTTGGCCAGCTGGGTGGAGCCTGCCCATGATGAGCAGACGCACATCACCATGACGACGCCCCACAAGGCCTTGCGCACCTGGGCAGCCGTAACCCTCACGCAGCAGCGGAGCTTCCGCCGACTGCCACCCGTGTCGCCCCCGGCGCCACTTCCCGCTGCCTGGCCATCTGCTGCCCCCGCAGCGTTGTCCCGGGGCCGGTCTTCCCCTGCAGAGAGACGCACAGTGGCGGGAGAAGGAGCAGAGTCATCCGGGGCTGAATTACACAAACACACACACTACAGCACAGACACAAACATACGAAACACAACCCGAAATAACACAGCTACATGAACCCTGATACACAGTCATCAACTTATGCGACACACGTGACAAGGAGAAAAACATTTATAACATACAAAACAAACTGGCGTGCCACAACCAAATACAACCATATGTGCAATATGCCAAAACAGAAATATGCATCTACACAAACATTTCACTCTCACACACACACACACACAATATGAAAATAGTCGCATACAAAAACACCAATGTAATGAAGACATGCATACACTCAGCAGTACTGGAACAGCAACACACAATATATATGAAAAGGTCCAAGCCAAGAAACATACATTTACCCAGTATAAAGCTCTTTAGGATTATGAAAACTACCAAATTCAGCAAAAATCCAGAGAGAGAAAAAGGGTTTTGCATTATCTGATCTAGAAACAAAAGCATCTTCAGACTTTTCTTTCTGTATAGTAAATGCAGGTATAAAGCAGGGCTGCTCTGGTCAGGTCATTTTCACTATACAACCCCAATCCAGATTAATGCTTGGATTTTATGCTATTTACATTCGTATAAATTTATGGGAGCCATACTGTGCATTATAAAACACACATATATTTCCCAGAAAACAGTTCATTTGTAGGACTAAAGAACAATTCACTGTACCTTAACTAACCTGGGAAGCAATAATATATAGTACAATGTTATCCAAGGAAGAGTATTGTGTAACCAAAGGCAGCATTTGAATCGAGTGTGGTTTTGTGCTTAACAGAATGAGATCATTTTAATGTCAGAGCTCTGTCAAACACAGAAGTACACCTGATCTGGATGTCACAAGAACAAAGCACAGGTTATATGGGGTATATAGAGGTAGAACCTCATTATTGCTGAAAATAAAGCTTCCTGCATATCAGCAATGAGTCAAAGGTTAAAACACACTAATTAAACTGTATTAGTCAGTACATAATTGATAACTTTTGCTGTTAAAGATCTCACCAGTTAAGTCTGACCGAAAAATCTCGAGTTCAGCCTTCTTATGCTGAGGGATATTTTTCTCTCTAAAACCTATATTCTCATATTGTAAGAGGATTTCCGAAAGCATGCACTGGATTAGTTGCTGGTGAACCTCAATGCAGTGACAGCACCCCGTTACAATAAACCGTACACTTCTATTCAAGGAAATATACTTCTTGCATTTGCTCGCGCGATGGTTGCGTCAAAAGCATTTTCATTTACTCAGCTTAAAATGACACATTTTTTAACCAGCGCTACTTCGGCTGAACCAGTGGCAGGCTTAAATATGTTGTTTAATTAATGCCGTTAGTTATTGCAGGGATCGGTAAGGAATATTGTGTCTGTAATGTAGTAAATAAATTACATTAACGTATTATACTCTCAGCTCTGTCCTCCTATCAATTTCCAGCTCTTTTGTTTCAAAAACATGGGAGAGGACTGACAAACACTAGATCAGGCTGACTGTAAGGAAAAAATATCGGGATTTAATTATGTGAACTGCAAGCCCAGCTATTCGTTGCTGAATTACGGATGTAACTAGCAGGGTGTAACTAGTCAGCCACTAATGAGACACCAAGCAGTAATTATTCATTCGGATCATCATTAACACCCCATGTGGTCTCATCGTTTGTGTTTCGCGCTTGATCATTATTAATCGAAAATCATTTTAAAGGTTACTTTTCGTCCATTTATGCTGCAGTTTTTCGCCAGTCACTTTATATGGATAGCAAAGCTAAACAAGCACCAGACGGAAAAGTATAACGGCAAGGTCCTGTTCTGATACCACAACCGGCTTATACGTGGGAACGAGAGTTCTGCGCCTGTGAGACCCCAATCTAAGAAAACAAACAAAATTAAAACTTGTATAATTACTATGTAAGTTTAGTGCCATACAGTCTCTGAATTACCGAAGCTTGTCATTATGACTACGGAAAATTCACTTGAGCAATAAGACCCGCTGTCGCATGTCCCAACACTGTAAGACAGCCTTAAATAAATTACAAAAAGCCCTTCTTGTACTCGTACTGTATGTTAACCGCAACACCATATTAAACGAATAACAAATACCGAAGAAATAGCAAAACGTATAACAGCATCACTTATGTAATTCTAGAATGTTCTCACGCATTGACAAACCCATCATGGCATGTAATGGGATAAACAAATCTGAGATGAAGTACACACTGCAGCTTTGACCTATCGTGTGCGAGCTAAACACACCATCTAGACCAGTGGTTTTCAACCTTCTTTCCACCGCGACCCAAATTTTTACCATGCCCTCTCTTTCGCGACCGTATGTCTAGTATATGTTTAAATTAACGCTATGATCAAGCACAAATGCACCCTGCAATTTTCGGTAATCAACACCTATCACGTAAATCTGATTGATTGTGCCACTGAATTTTAAATTAAGCATCTGTGGTTTGCTTTCTTAGATTGTCTGAATGTTCACTCATTTTGCGCTAAGCATTTGCAGACCCTAGATCTGTTTATATATGTTAATTTTAGGACTGGGGCTGGGAAATATGATCGTGGATCACCATTAGAACTTGCAGGTTTTAAAATGCTTACATATTATGTAACTGCCTAGCGACCCTTCCAAAACTTTGCAAATTTGGGTCGCGATCGACTCATGGGTTTAGAATCGCCGCTCTAGACATGGCAAAATCACAAATACAGAAAACAAATGATCTGCCGTTACTTTTACATATATTATTTGAGTTGATCCATCATCAAGCAATATATATGAAGGATGCTTCACTTTGCAAACCGATCACGTGGTCATACCTACGCCGTCAGCATTGGGTAAATCCCGGTGAACTAAGCAAAAACTCTTCATGCAGTGCTTTTAACGTCCCTCCACCCCCCGCCTTAAAAAAATGGTGTGATCCACCAGAAACCGACTGTAATCCTACGGGTAACTTTGCAGATGTTTTTCATGTGGGGTAGGGGAATTCATCCAGTGTTGAACTTTGAGATAAAGTATGTACCCTGCACAAAATTCAGATTCAGTGTGCTTCAGTTTTCCATAACTGCATATCCAGCAATGAGGCATGCTGAGACTGGAGCCTATCCCAGAAAAAAACACAGGGCAGGAGTGTTGCTGGACGGGATGCCAGTCCATTAGAGATAGCGCCATAAGACATTGTAGACTATTTGTTGATACAAATCCACGTGAATCTTAGTTCAGAAATGTGGGAAAATGCATACAACCTGTATGATAATGAGGAAAAATGTAAACTCATAGACACACACATGCACATGCGCATGCGCACACACACACACACACACACACAGCTGCAAGCAAGATTCAAACCCACAATTGTAGACCCAAAGGGTGATTTATACAAAATATAATAGAAATTAACTCGGATTGTTCCCTCGGTCAAGTGTACTGTCATTATCAGATGCTGCTTTGTGGGCTACAGAATTCTTCAGTACCCACCAAAAATATTTTTGTATTCTTTATGAAAAAGCAATAAAACCAGCCACCACTATCCTGTATTCCTAAAAGCAATACTTAACCCCTGACTTTCCTGAAGCTGCACGGAGCCGTAAAGCTTTCCTTCAGATGCGGGACCTGATTGTGTTGTGTAGGCGGGTTTTATATCAATTGGTGTTGCCACAACAAAACGATTAACCGAGAACAGCAGACACATGCATGCGCGCGCTGGTACTATTACGTACATACATCAAAGACGAGCAGGAATCCCATGGAGTGAGAACAACACGACGCTAACTGAAGGTCACCCCAGCAGCACAGTGTGTCCCTCACAGGCCACCGTGGAAAAGCCGTTGCCCTGGCTACTGCTCCACACTGCACCAAGATTAATCTTCCAAACGCAGTGGCGGGCCAGGCCAATCAGTGCTGAGTGGGACAGGGACTGAGCTAAGCACTTTCTGTTCAAAGGAGCTGGACAGGAGCCCTGGGTACTGCCACCAGGACCCTTTGGTGACAAGTGGCATTTTTTCCACCAGTTTATACTCATGCAACATAATTTCAGCAGTAAGACACACCTATCCACAAGTAGGTAATAGTACAGAAATAGAAATCTAGCATTCTTTATAATTAAGGGAAATAAAGGGGAACAACATCTGAAGCAAAATTAAACCAACCGGGAAATTTTGCCCAGGCTGTGTGTCGCCGAGCAGAGCACTACAGGCAGGAAACGGTGAACAGAAACATCTCGAAACACCGATGCACGTGTAACTGAATGACGGTTCAAGGACTGTGGAGGGAGGCATCTTCAGATCTCTTGAGCGGCGTGTGTCCCATTAACAAGCTTGTATCTCAGCATGTCCCTCAGCAGGCATGCATCCCATACACAGGAAGTACTGTTTATCATGGTATAAAAGGTCCTTCAGCTTGAAGATGAATTATGATGGCCTACAAGTGATTGGTGCACTACAATGCTGTTTATACAGCATCACGTACGCACTCCTAATAACTCTGTGGAAACACTTTAATCATCTTCCCAAAGTAGTATCAGGAGAACATTACGAGACTTTTGTCCTCAGTAATCGTTCAGCATCACTACAAAATCATTTTTGTAAAGAATTTTATTATTAATTGATTGTCACATGGGGTATTAATTTCTGCTCAAAACATACATCCATATTGGAACCACCTTGGTCACGGGGTGGGGTGGGGGGAGCTATCCCATGAAGCACAGATCACAAGGCTGGGGTGCATTTAGGACACCCTGGAGCCAATATGCAATCCTCCTTATAATCTGTGTTGCACATTCTTCCTCTGCAAAGGACCTTAATCTCACACCACAGTGTGGCCCAGTTCTCATGTATGCTTCCTTTGTCCTCATATAACCCTGTCAAGCTAATTTAAGGAAACAAAAAGGCTCTTCAAGACCTTCACATGTAAGCAGTAATATGGCAAAGGGAACGTTCCAGTTCCTCCTTAAC